TGGCCGAACACATGCTCAATCATTGGAATCGGAATCACGTAATACCAGTTCTACTTCATCGATTCAATTGAACTACATTTACAGCTTTGTTCTGTTCTTGGAAAAGGAAAAAGAACACGCACTCAATATTCAAATTCAATTTTGTCTGATCATAGACCAATGTCTACCATTAGTACTTCTATATCTCAATTGTACACCTATATAGATTCCTAAAACCGTTAGAGAAAACTGTTAAATATATAAACATTTAAACGAAACTAGGGAGAGAGTCGATTTGCCCAAGAATAACCTTAGTTCTAAATGGATATTTATAGCAAAAATATAAAGTCCAATGATCTTTATAAAAAAAATTAAGTACATGTTTGAGAAAGCTTATGTTATAATTTAAGCTGGTCAAACATAATTTTTATCTATATCTTTTACTACCTACAATTACTACTCACTTTTTAACTACACATTCTATAGGATCCAAAACTATAATCAATTATAACCGATTAAGTCAAGCTCAGGGTAAGCCTATTTTTGGCTCATGTTTATATACTATTTATAAACAATGAAGCCACTTTTATTCAAACATTTTGAGAAACCTACAAATACTACTTACTTATCCACCATCCATTTCTATCTATTTATAAACAACTCACAAGATTTTTTTAAGGCAAACGCCTTAAGACATTAATTTTTATTCAATTTTTGAAGGTGTATGCCTTAGCTGAGTGAAGCCCTCACCTTACAGCACTGCCTCAAGGATTGTGACGCACGAGCTACTTAATTATCTAGATTTATTTACTTAGCTTTAGGTATGGGCCACAAAATATTAAAAACTCTAATTGAGCCACTTTGAAAATAGGGGCTTGACCAACTAAAGTAATAGTTTTTTTTTTTTTTCCGTTCTAGGATAGATTTCTCGTTTGTTTGTTTACACACTTTAAATTGTTATATTATGAATTTTGAAAGGTTATTTATTTATTTATTTTGCACTTATTTTACATTTAACAATTTTTTGAGTTTTTTTGGTTTATGGTGAGGCTTAAGCCTTCGAATGCTTCGAAGCTTACGCCTCTGTAACCAATTGCATCTTTTTATACATTGGTTATGAGAGTGCTCAAAACTCTTTGATAGTCTATCAAGAAACTTGTGAACAAATATCTCTTTCCCTTCATCTAGTTAGTCATTGGACCTATTTGATGTAAAGTAGGAATACATGGAGAACTGAAGGAAGAAAAGTACATGGAAGTTCCCACAGTCTTGGCAAAAAGTTAGAAAAGAAAGTCATGATCCCCAAGGGCCTAGTGTTGCACATTTAAAATGTCTGATGAAGTTTAAATATAGTCAATAGCACGGCTATCTTATACTCTCTAGAAGTGGCATATTAAAAAAAGACCAATATGCCTTAAAAGTACTAAACCATTCATGCAACAAAAAAAAAAAAAAACATAGGGAAGTTGCCCACTGAATCCTTACGCATCTAAAGTCAACACCATGAAAGAGCATCTTACTTAGAAAGGGTGAAAGAGGAAGTGCCAGCTTATACTTCTAATGCACATTCGTTGCTGGCTAATCTTATCGAGTGGAGCAACACATAATTCAAGTGGGCAAACGAACCAAAATTTTAATCAATGGCTCAAGGATTATATGAAGTGCTGTGGAGAAAGCTCTCAAATGTGGGAATAAAGTTAGAAGCCATATTGTGAGAAAATATCTGCTAGAATCATTACATACGATCCTGTTCACCATAATTGAACTAAACACACTGGGATTGACTTACATTTTATTAAAGGAGAGCTAGAAAATGGAAAAATTAGTATCCCTTATATAGGTATGGAACCAACTTGTACATATCCAATAGATGTGTAGACTGCTACTGACCCTATAATGAAACCTGGAAAGATTTAGTAGAACATGCCTAGAAGAATAATAATTCCAAGAATAGATTAACAGTTGTATACATATTCCTATGTAATGTCATTAGTATCAATGAAATAACCTCCTGTTACAACAACTGTAATATGTGGGTAGCCCTATAATATCTAATAAAATTGTTTTCAGTATCTGATATGTAATAGAATATAGAAAGGTTGGTGCTTTCCCATGGGCACAAAGAGAATGGATGACGCTTTTGTATCCTCACAACTTCTCAAATGATGAAAATAAAATATAGAAACCATGGCAATAGTTTAGCAGACTAAAGGTGTGTTTGTCTCCCATTATTGGGAGAAAAATAAAGTAATGAATAGTATTTTTTGAAGAATGTGTGGTTGAAAAGTAAAGTAACTTTATTGGTTTGTGTATAGAATATTTTACTGAGTGAATGTGTGGTAGAAAATATTACTGTAGCAAACAATTTTTTTAAATAATGGTAGACAAACAGAGGCTAAATGATTTCTAATAATTTAGTATTGGTATTGATTGAGAAGCAAAGCCCTTGCATATGGGATTGTTTGTGTGTTTCAAGAAAGGGCAGAAACACCAAAGGAACCCAGTCACACCTATCTCAAAGAAGAGTGGGGCCCCACGCGCATTTCCTTGGATTAGGCAACAGTGAGAAGTACAAGTGCTTCTGATGTGCTGCTGATTCCCTAGGATAAAGGACAGAGCTTAGGAAGAAACATGGACTTTCAAAAACAAATATGAGCATTCTAGAAAAGGCTTGCCACCTAAGAAAGCACCGGAAAATGGTAGAGCTCTTCTTAGCTCTGAAAACAAATTAGACCAATATTTAAACTGGGAAACCAGTATCAATTTATTCTCCAGTTATTACATATGATGTCTCTACCGAAGAAAGCATGTTAAATTCTAAAACAGGGAAACTCTTCTCCCTGCCATTGTCAATAGTCTCCATATCATATTCACTACTATCTGCAGACTGCAGCTAGATTCCTTCTGTAACATGTATATTCTTAAACTGAATTAGATGAATGTCAAGTCAATTAGAAGTCATATAACTTTCTGGTTCATTTAAAAATAAAAAATGTTGATCTCCATAAACTCCTGAAAATCTATATATCATAAATCTTTATCTAACTAGAGCTAGAGTAACAACTTCTTTAAGCACGCTCGATTTCACACAAGTACTGTTTCTTCACTTACTTTCCTCCTAAAGCTTAGAGTAATGCATCTCATTCCATTTTATTCTGNTAACAACTTCTTTAAGCACGCTCGATTTCACACAAGTACTGTTTCTTCACTTACTTTCCTCCTAAAGCTTAGAGTAATGCATCTCATTCCATTTTATTCTGCCAGAGAAATTGCTATTGGATCTTGTTTTCTCCCATCTCATGCTAAAAGGCATCCCCAAATCCAGCATTGAATGTCACAAGTTTTTTGCAAGCATTTCTTAGGCCAAGGGCTTATACTTGACTGGCAATGACATAACCAGAGAGAAGGAATAACGTGAGTTCAATGAACCATCTGGTCAGTTACAAGCAACAAACAACAGGGGAAGAATAAAAATTATACATTTTTTTTTTAATTTTTCATATTTGAATCTTTATTGCAAACAACCTCAAAGAACAACTTCATGTCAATGAATATTACATTGTTTTTCACTGAAACGAAGACTAGCAGTCAAGGAAAAACCTCCGTCCATCAAATAAAATTTGTAGTTTTCCGTAAAAAATCACTTTCTGAAATAGAAGTACATATTGCAAATTTTACTCTTTTATAGTTCTTTTCTCTATAAACATAGAAAACCCTCCAAGAAAGCCCACTTTAACAAAAATCGCCCTACGGCATATATATGGGATGGAGGAAGCAAAAAGTTAGGAATAAGACATTCAACTTCACAAATTTTACCCACTAGGACGAAATAAACTCAATAGTAGCAAATTGTTATAGGGATTACAGGACTTAAATGTAGCCGTTTTTATAACAGATAGAAAAGTATGTTCCATCCAATGTTTAAAAAAGCTAAACTGGGTATTAAAAAATTTGTCTCAGTGAGGCGAGACATGAGCCTCAACAAAAAGAAATAAAAAAAATATAAATTATACTCGTAATAAACCATAAATTATCTGAAAAATCCCTAATAAAAAATTCCATTCAAATTAAAAGTCTAATATGCTACTTGAAACATAAAATGGATTGACAATATAACAAATAGTAAATCAACAAAGTAGTAATCCAATGACAAGACACTAGTTGAACTCAAACTAAAAATGTAAACAATTGAAACAAGAGAGCAGCTATTTAATGTCATGCATGCTTTAATTTGAAAGAGAAGAAAAGAAAACATAGGATAACAGCAAGAAAAGCATAATAGGAAGAGAAAAAGAGTGTGAAGTTATCTATCACAAGTACACTATAAAAATTGCAACTTCACTTTCGAGGGGTGGATCACACCCCAGCTGTAGAAGTAGAAGGCTAAGTCAAACACATGAACTTCACTTGTCTCTTCTACGATCTCTAATTTTTTATATTTTAGATTTTACGGTAGGTTGTGTTACACAAATGACCCAAAGAAACCTGTAATACGTTCTGAGCTATGAAAAATCAGCCAAAACCTGAGAATGATAAAAGAACAGCCCAAAAAGTGCAAGACCAAGAAGTGCATGCATCAGCTTCTCTAAGGCTAAAGCTTTGAGCTCCTAATAGACGTCTCACATAAGGTGTGTCTCGAGGTATAAGCATTGGGCACTTTTCAAACGTCGATCCACATATTGACAATGCATGAGCATAATATTTAAAGAAGCAGATTAAGCATGTCAGATACATAAGCTAACAATATTAGACATGGGGAACATAAAGTTTTAGGTCATGTATTATCTTCCGGAATCGAAATATTTTAAGCCATATAAACTAAAAGTAGTAACAAATAAAAAAAAAAGAGTTGAGGAAGCAAACCACAAACAGGTGTGCTGGAAGATGTATAACATTCATGAAGGAGACTATGGACAATTTCAACCTTCACAGAGCTAGATGTCAAAACAGAGATAGGTGGCAATTACACGAGTGCTTTTCAAAGACTGAGTTCTAGACTTCCAACACTGGGACAGCAGTCATCATACTTCTGTTAATGACACCTTAACTACTGAGAAAAGCCATAAAACCAATCATATATTCAATGAGAGAGTCTTTCCACAAATCTTTAAAAAATTCAGGTGCAAAATCCTAACAGCATCAAAAGTATGCATCACCTGCTTCTTCCAATTCTTCATCTTCGCTATCCAATAAATAATCCCCCTCCTCCCCATCATCATCAACAATGGAATTCCCATTATCCCGCTTTTCCAATCTTGCTCCTATCCAGTCTTCATCTTCCTCATATCCCTCCTCGACTTCTGAAAAGGATGAAATCCTCACATCATCCAACTTCATTCTCCCGACAAGCTCATCCAAATTCTCCTCTGTTAATCCTCCATTAAACTCGCTAACTGAAAAGCTTCCACTCCTCCCATCAAACTCCCTCCATATTTTGCTCTTCAATTCCAAATCACTCTCCTTAATTTCCCCATTCTCCACCTTAATCCATGGCACCCATATATCAGCATGCCTCCCTAATGATCTATCCTGATCTCCCACAACCACCGTCCCCAAATTCGCTTCTCTCGCCTTCCTCAACATCTCTGTGAAATCCGAGTCATCCGACACCAATACCATCCAATCAACACCCCTACTCATGGAATGCATCATTTGCCTCTTTAAAGCCCAATCCGCAGCCTGGGGCTTATCCTGCACCGTCTTGACATACACCCCAGCGCGCTTCAGCTCTTGGGCCAGACCATAACCGACCTTTGGGGTCAACAAACGCCGTGCTGTCTCATTGTACTTCTCATTCCCATCTATAAATCTCTCCTTATAACGCTGCCGTTTCTTACCCTTCAAACTCCTCATTCTGTTCAATTTCTTTTGCCTCTCCCTTTCGTGTAATTGTCGAAAATGCTTCTTCAAATCCAAATTGGTCTTGCATTTCCTCCCGCACACCGAGCAAATATACGGTTCAGTAGGCGTAGACAACCCCTTCCGCTCCAGAAAATCCATCTGGCGGCGTTCCCGGCGTTCCTCAAGGACCCACTGGGGGAGGTGGATAAAGGCGTGTTGATTTGCATAGGCTGAGATATCAATAACTTCACCAAATTTCTGGGCCACCCCTTTGAGGGCCAGGGCAGCCTCGTACGGCGGGCCGCGCGGCGGCTTGTTGTCCAAATCCCATAGCACCACCACTTTCTTGGGCTTTGCAGTATAAACCCCTTCCTTAGTTTTCACCATGTCAATTTCCCTGTCCGCCATACATGCCTTGATAGGGGTCCACTGACAACGTTTGACATTGTACAACGAAGATTTTGATGAGAATAAAATTATGGGATTGGGTACGAAAGGAGGTCGCAGAGAATGGATTTTAAGCTTCGGTGGAGAAGGGAAAATTTTGAGAGGGAGTGGTTCAATGGAGTTGAAGATAGAATTAAGGATCATCGTTTCATTAAGGGTAATGCACTTCCATTTTATTTTCTTCTCATCTTATTGGGCTTTTTATCTTCAACCTGTTATCCAATGAACGGTTCTGCATACAGTCTGTATACCATGGAGTATATACGGGTTGTCACATGTGTGTTATGTCACGGTTTACCCACTGTCCTTTAACACTTATCCCTATGGCTATTCAACTTTACTCCGTCCAACTTCATTGGCCACCGGATGAAAAACGTCAGTGAACTTTCCCACGTGGCCAACGGCAAGGTGACATGGCACGTTAAATTCTTAACAAGGCACCAACTAAGCAATGCCAAACACGACTTTACCCTCAAATGGCAAATATAACATGCATTTCCCTCATCTCTATTAATTCCCAACCCCAGAAAACACGACTTGGAACCTGTTGTTGAGAGCAACCCATCTGAAACCCTAACCCCCAATTGGTACTACCCCACACTCGGAGGCCGCCCCACGAATCAGTTGAAGCGTGTAATCGAGGAAGGCGTGCACATGGAGGGACCACTTGAAGGTAATTCAAAGTCAATATTTTACATTATTTTCATGAATCGAGACAAAGAGAAGACGAATGATAATTGTTGCATTTCAAAGTTCACTTACTATACATAAAATAATTTTTTTGGAGTCAAAAGATTGATTAGAAATGACATCACACCCAGAATTCTTCTTTGGCAATATCATATCCTCCCTGCTCTGTTTATACATACAAATGCATACGTATATGCGTGTGTGCGAGTCTGTGTGTATTATTTAGAGATCAATTTTTTTTAGCATCCGTAAAAAAATCCAAATTTTAATTCATATTCAAAATGTCTTCGACCGATTTGATTACTCTTGCAAAAATCCCAAAACAATTAACAATTTTCACATCTCTAAACAAAAGCATCAATTATTGTGAAGAATCTGTACATATCTTCTTCATATCTCTGTGTGTGTAAATATCACTTGCTTTAAGTTAGCAATCATTCATTTCATTCTTACCTTAAACTCCATTTCAGGTCCTGTGAACTGTCCTGCAATCTGACTGCATGATATAAGCCTTTGCATCCTCCTGTGTTCATAATATTTTTTTTGCATAAATGTGTAATTAGAATTTTCTAATTGCTTGTGGTGTAATGTTGTAACAGTGTCTAAGGATGATTCTGATTTTGTTGATTCTGAGAACGATTTGGAGGATGAAGATGACACATTGTATGACCGAAATGTGACTGACGGTATCGAAATGGGGTTGGATGGCCACGATCAAGTTCAAGATGAACGGGATGAGGGCAACGATACGGAAATAGATGACTTGGAATATCCGTCGGAGGAGTTATTGTCATAGTGCTTGATGAGTGTTCTACACTCATGATATTTATGTCACTTAATTCGTTATTTTGTCATTCTTGAGAGAGTTTTAGAGAGTTTTTATGTGTGTTTTGATGTTGTGATATAGGTTGATGAGATTGAAGAAAATAAACAAAAGTTGGAAAGGAAAGAGCTAAATTGTAAGAGATCTAAAGTTCGGGGACTAAAGTACAAATATTGAAAAGTTATACCGAGCCTCACGATGAAGATTTGAGAGTGATCAGAACCAATTGGATGAGGAAAGATGTCAAAGGGATCAAATTTAGTCAAAATATGATCACAAATCAATTTACAACCGAAAAGTTTTGCTCCAGATTTTTAGTCTCATATTGAGACT